CTCTCACACACACACATACACACACACACTCTCTCTCTCTCTCTCACACACACACACACACACACACACATACACACACACACATACGCAAACACACACATACGCACACACACACACGATATACACATACACACAAACATTGCACAGAGATCTACAAACGAACAAACAAAGGAACTAAAACAAAGAATAAAACAAAAATAAAAACGAACCAAACAACCAACCAACCAAACAAAAACAATGAACTAACGAAGTGTCGTCTTAGGGTAAGACCAGGGGACGGACGACACGACAAAACGGACAACGATTTGCAGTTTGTAGATAGATCTAAAGCAAAACAAAGAAAGGAGTAAAATCCACGTGTATAACAAAATCGTTTTGCCATACCACGTGACACCGACACGATTTTTCAGGTCACGGACAAGTTAACAACACGATTCCCAGAAAACATGTTTCAATTTTTTTTTGTCCGCCCGTTTCAAGGGAAATAATCTCATCAACTAGCCTAGTCCCCTTCTTTCAGAATTACTTCTCTTGATGTCACTAAAAGGTAAACAATCTTACATGAATTCTTGTTGTGATTTGTTAATTTTTTTCTTTCCTTGGTCAGGTCATCCCTGCACTTCTCCAAAAGTTCATATGGGTTTTATTCGAAAATAGCTGAAGAATTTTTCATCGTCTCCCAGCAATTACGGGTATAAATGATGGAATTCAACGAGAGTCTCACACTCATGCTGTCTCAATATAATTGGGTGATTATCATAATTTTCAGCACATTGTCGTTGTCTCTTCTGTCTCCTCATCAACCATTGCTAAACAACTTCTTTCTTGTTTTACGCCCCATGTCTGATGATAGGAATGTTGTGGAAATTGTCCATTGTTAACGTGGTCGGTTTTTACCAAGGACAACCCAGACGATTTCAGTTGTCGTGTTGTCTGTCCTTAGTGTGGTCTTACCCTAATCTGTCGCGTCGTCTAAAATCAGCCATGTTGTTTAATCAGTCGTGTCGTTTAATCTGTTATTTGTGTCGTCTTATTACTAATCTTGTCGTCTTAATTTGTCATGTCGTCTAATCTGTCTTGTAGTATTATCAGTCGTGACGTTTAATCTGTTTTTTGTGTCGTCTTATTACTTTTCGTGTCGTCTAATTTGTCGTTAGATATAGTTGTCGTGTCATCTAATCTGTTGTGTCGTCTAATTTGTCGTGTCGTTTAATCTGGGTTTTTTTGTGTCGTCTTATTACTTGTCGTGTCGTCTTATTACTTGTCGTGTCGTCTAATCTGTCGTGCCCTCTAATCTGTCATGTTGTCTAATTTGTCGGGTTGTCTAATCAGTCGTGTTGTTTAATCTGCTTTTGTCTTGTCTTATTACTTGTCGTGTTGCCCAATTTGTAGCGTCATCTTATCAATCGTGTTGTCTAACGTGTAGTGTAGTCTTCTTATTTCTCGGCTTTGTATGTACTTGTTGTGTCGTCTCATGTATCGTATCATCTTATTACTTGATGTGTCATATCACCTGTTGTGTCGACTAATTATCTGTTGTGTCGTCTAATCTGTCGTGTCTTCATATTATTTGTCGTGTCATTTAACCTGTCATGTCGTATTCTGCCATTTTACATGTCATGTCGTGTTGTGTCGTCTAACCTGTCGTGTCGCATCATGCCATCTTACATTTCATGTCGAGTCATGTCATGTTGTCTAACCTGTCATGTCGTATCATTCCATCTTACATTTTGTGTCGTGTCGTCTATCTAACCTGTCGTGTCTTTTTACCTGTTGTGTTGTGTTGTGTTGTGTTGTGTTGTGTTGTGTTGTGTTGTGTTGTGTTGTGTTGTGTTGTGTTGTGTTGTGTTGTGTTGTGCCATCTACCTGTCATGTTGTATAATCTAACGTGTCGTATCGTGCCACCTTTCTTGTCCTGTTGTTTCATTGTGTAGTATAAACTAAAAGTGACGTGTCATGTAACCTGTCGTGTTGTGTCGTTTTACCTATCGTGTCGTGTTGTGCCACCTAACCTGTCGTGTTGTGTCATTTTACCTCTTGTGTCGTATCGTGCCATCTTACATGTCCTGTTGTTTCATCGTGTAGTATAAACTGAAGCGTCGTGTCATCTAACCTGGCGTGTTGTATCTTTTAACTGTCGTGTCGTGTCATATCGTGTCGTGCTATCTCCTTTCTTGTCGTATCCTCTAACGTGTCATATCGTGGCATCTTAATTGTCCTTTTGTTTCATCGAGTAGTTTAAACTGAAGAGTCGTGTTCTTTAAACTGTCATGTCGTGTCTGTTTACCTGTGGTGTCGTGTCGTATCGTGCCATCTTACATGTCTTGTTGTTTCATCGTGTTGTATAAATTTGAAGTGATGTGTCATCTTCTAACCTGTCGTGTCATGTGTGCAATCTTACCTGTCGTGTCGTATCGTGTCATCTTACATGATGTCCTGTTGCTACATAGTGTAGTATAAACTGAAGTGTCTTATTGTGTTGCAAGTGCCGTAAAAACACTTACTAAAACTAAACTGAAGTGTCATGTCATCTTACCTGTCGTTTTGTGTCGTGCCATCTTACCTGTTGTGTCGTATCGTGCCATCCTACATGTCCTGTTGTTACGTCATGTAGTATAAACTGAAGTGTCATGTCATCTAACCTGTTGTGTTGTGTCTTTTTACCTGGCATGTCATATTATGTTGTGTCGTGCCATCTTACCTGTTGTGTCGTATCGTGCCATCCTACATGTCCTGTTGTTACGTCATGTAGTATAAACTGAAGTGTCATGTCATCTAACCTGTTGTGTTGTGTCTTTTTACCTGGCATGTCATATTATGTTGTGTCGTGCCATCTACCTTTCATGTCGTATCATGTAACGAGTCGTGTCGTGCCATCCTACATGTCCTGTTGTTTCATCATGTAGTACATGTATGGACTGAAGTGTCATGTCATCTAACCTTTCATGTCGTGCGTGCTACCTTACCTATATAATATGTTGTATCGTTTTACCTGTGGTGTCGTGTCATCTTACCTGTCGTGTCGTTTTACCTGTCGTGTCATGTTGTGCCATCTAACCTGTTGTGTCGTGTCGTCTTACCTGTCGTGTCATGTCGTGTTGTGCCATCTACCTGTCGTGTCGTATCATCTAACCTGTCGTGTCGTGTCGTTTTACCTGTCGTGTCATGTTGTGCCATCTAACCTGTTGTGTCGTGTCGTCTTACCTGTCGTGTCATGTCGTGTTGTGCCATCTACCTGTCGTGTCGTATCATCTAACCTGTCGTGTCGTGTCGTTTTACCTGTCATGTTATGTTGTGCCATCTAGCTGTCGTGTAGTGTCGTATCATCTAAACTGCATGTCGTGTCGTATTACCTGTCGTGTCGTCACCCATAGCCCTGAAGACGTCACGACACTGTTTGGCGTCCAGTGCCTGTGTCTTTGACTGCTGCAATACGTCGGCCAGTTGTCGTTTCGCCGCATCTGCCGACATTAACGGGTTTTTAAAAATAGTTTCTTTGGTATTATTCTAACCTAAGAAAAAGACAGACAGACAGACAGACAGACAGACAGACAGACAGACAGACAGACAGACAGA